AGGCTTCACTTCAACTGGCAGCTTGATTTAGCCGAATTCAGGACAGGCCACCAGGGCTCTTTCTCCATCATGCTGGTCCCAACCCAGGTGGAGTCAGGCAGGGCATCACCAGAGGAGCCCGGAGCAAAGCAGGGAGCAGTCTGAGTTGCTCCTCCCTCATGCAAGGGCCTTCCTCCTCTTATTTGGAGGAAAAATGTGAGCTTGTTTCAAAGCCTCAGGTGTTCCTTTTAGCTCAGGGAGTAGGTAAAAGAAAACAAAGATGTGGCAGAAAGGGATGTGTCGGTGACAGTGAGAAGCAACTTGATCTTGAGGACTCTCCTTCTTGTCCCTCTGTGAAGCCTCTTCCACCACGTAGGGCTCAGGGCTGACAAAGCCCCCTCCCAACCTTTCTCAGGCTGGACACAAGGTCAACCATGAGAAAACAGTAAAACAAGGAGAAGATAGTCTGTAGAGACAAATTGGGAGGGTTCAGGAGGAGAATTTAGGATTTGCTTCTGCCCATGGGACACAGGCTGGGAATTAAAATGTTTTCCTGACTCTTCTCTGAAAGCCAGATAGACTCCACCTAAAACCCTATTGCCAATGATGCAGGATGCACTTACCAGAGACTTTGATTTTCTTGAATGTGGAAATTTCCCTGCCAGTGACTGAGTTACGAGCAGAGCAACCATAGAGCCCGCTATGCTCTGTAGTAATTTGGAGGATAGAGAGCTTATGTCCTGATTGCTGAAGCTTCCCATCAATCGTCCAAGTATACTCTGCCGGTGGGTTAGAGTCCGCGAAGCAGTACAAGGTGAGGTTTTCTCCTGAATGGTAATAGGTGCACGAAGGGAAAATCCTGGGGACGTCTGGACCATCTGGAGTAAAGAGAATAAAGCCACTGGTGATGTCATCCGAGGGAAGGGGATGCTCCTGGTCTCTTAAAGGGATACAGTGTCCCTCTGAGCCAAGAGACACCCTCAAGTCCCAGCCAAACCCCCTCTCTGTTCACTGAGATGAGGCCTAAGGTTCTCAGCCTTAGACCCATCACAGGCTGTAGACCCCAAGTCTCCCATGACAGGAGCATCCCCTCCCCTTATATTCTTGGTTAAGGCTATGCCTACCCAGGTTTTCCCAGGGCAGGGAGTCATGGCCAGCTCAGGTGTCCAGAAATAAAAGTGTCTGTACTTGGACCTGAGAGAGACTGAGATGCCTGGCCTCTGGTTGTTTGTATTTAAGCTCGTGACCTGGCCACAGAGGAACCAAAGGTACTCACAGAGAACATCCAGGGTGACTGGGTCACTGAAGATGCTACCAAATCGGTCCCGTATTTCACATTCATAGGGTCCTGTGTCATTTCTTGTGACATTGGCTAGAATGAGGATCCTGTTTTCACCGGGTTGCTTTAGCCTGGAACTGACCGGGAGGCTCTGATCATTTACCCACCACACATAGGTATAGTTCTGAGTCTTAGGTTCACAGGTTAAGACTACAACATTCTTATTCTCCATGGGGTTGAAGTTGTTGCTGGTGATGTAGGGCTTGGGCAGCTCCGCTGTGTGGATAACAGAGAGAAGATTGTCCTGTGTGGCACCTTTGATTCCTCCACAGACATCCTTCAATCAGAGTTGGCATCTCCCACCTCTCAGCCCTCCTGAGTCCTTGAAAGTCAACAGCTGGCGCGTGTGTCACGAGACAGATGCATGATGACCTAAGGGCTCAAAGACTGTGAGGCCACCTGTTCTGTCTTAGGGAATCACAGATTTTCTCAAGTGTGAATTGAGCAGTAGTGTTGGGTCATGGACAGACACGTCAGTGGGAGTCACAGCCCCTCATACCCCTCCCAGTCCCTCTCTAATCAACTGACTGGCTGGCTCACCTTGGGTTCCTTACCTGGAATGTGTGACTGCCGGATCTCTTCCAAATTCCATCCTACTTTGCCCCGCTAGATGTGATTTCTCTGCAGCTTCCATTTCCAAGGACATTCTAGAGATGGGTAATAATGGGACTTCCCATTGTCCTGAAACCCTGAAGATACTGAGCAGCCTGGCCTGGGACTGGATGTTTCAGCAGAAATAAGACAGGGGAGACCAGAGTCAACCCTGGAGGTCAGTTCAGTCATCAGGCAGTGGAGGCACAAGGTGGGGCCGTTTTCTACAGGTGTTTCATGATGACTTACTTGAGCCAGTGA